AATAAAGGAGGGAGGGGGAATGAATTAGATTGAGAGTGGAAAGGGGGCTTGTTGCCTTTGTCCCCCTCCTTTTTTAATGGGATTTGCTTTTAAACAGTCTCCTCCCGTTCAGTATTTCTATGGAAAGAGGGTGGAAAGTCGTGGGGGATAGTGTGTGGGGATCTGAGGCTTGTCAAGTGCTCTGCCCTCACCTTCCTCCCTCTTTTTTCCTCCTTTTCTGAAACTCGTATTTACAGCTGTTTTTGGAGGGAGACTGTGTTCTGTCCTTTTGTTCGTCACTCTCCCTGGAAGCCGGGGAAATGGTGGTTTTAGTTAGTGAGGGGGCTTAAAAGGTCCTTTATCATTTGGTATTACGACAGGTAAAAGTGTGGGGAGGGGTGGAAAAAAGTGTTACGTCTGGTGGTAGAGGTGACACTGGGGGTCCCCCGTTACACATTAAACTCCTCTTTTCTCCAGTGGCCAGGAGGTGGAGGGTGTTAGAAACCCAGCAGGTTATTGCAGTGCTTTTGAAGGGAGGGTGACGGAACCCCTTTCATGCCGTGAAGAGTTTTATTGTGTTGCAAGTTGGAAGGAGAGCAGGAAGAGAGGAGAAAGAAAAGAAATGAGCGTTAACTTGGCAGTATGAATACCCAGTTGCAAAGGCATAAGGAACGGAGGGGGGTACTATTGAAGGACAAGCGTGACACGCCCACCTGCGAGCATGACACGCCCACCCATGAGCATGGGGGGCGCCCCCACCCCCACCCGGTCCGCGCATGGAGCCCACACCCCCCAAATGGTCCCCAGTCCCAAAAACGTTGGGGACCACTGCTTTAGAGTATCTCTCAATTTCAACTCCTAGATAGTTACTGATCTCTCCCAGATCTCTTAAATTGTAATTTTTCTTTAGCATTTTTTAAAATTTTTTTCAGCAGATTTCTCATTTTTGGCAAATATTGCAATATCATCTACAAAAATTAGAATAATTGCTTGTTCATCTTTCTTAATAAATAAACATGGATCTGCAATCCCTTGCATAAACCCATTACTCTTGAGTGTTTTGGAAAGATGCTGGTTCCATTCATATCCACTCTGCTTTAATCCATACAAACTGTTCTTTAGTATCCAGCATTTACCTTCACTATTATTTATGCTGGGTGGTGTTTTCATATAAATTTTATGTTGAAGATCAGCATATAGGTACACAGTTTCAATATCAATATGCCTTGATACTAAGTTCTGTTTTGCAGCATAAGTTAACACAAATCTCAGTGTTTCAGGCCTCAAAGCAGGTGAGAATACCTGATCGTAGTCATTAGATGTCTGTGAATAGCCTTTAGCTACTAATCTAGCTCGGTACCTCAGATGCCCATCTGCATCAACTTTTCTTTTAAATATCCACCTGCATCCTATTACTTTAGTGTTAGCAAGTTGTTCTATTTTTTCATATACATTAAGTTTCTTTAGTGAATTCAATTCCTTCTCTGTTGCTTCTTTCCATTTCTCCTGTTCTAATTTAGGCATATTGCATATTTTTCATATGTTTGTGGCTCAGTTACATTCAGATAGTAATATGCCCCAGGTTTCAATCTATCAGGGGGTCTGTGCTCCCTGGCAGATCTCCTTGGAATTACTCTCTCCTCCTCCTGAGTTTCCCTCTCCTCTGAAGTAGAAGGGATTTTTTGGTCTGTCTGTAATTCAACAGGTTCACTCTCTTGCTTAATTTCCTGTTCTGGTTGTAAATTTACTCTTTTCTTAGTTTCCCTGTTCTCTTGCATGTTTGGGATATGGATGATTGCTTCAGGTAGTAAACTAATTTTATCCCAGTATGCATGTTCGTTAAAAGATGCACTACTACTTATAATTACTTTGTTAGTATTAGGTAGACCAAATCTAAATCCTTTCTTGTTTTGTTGATAGCCAAGAAAGTACATTAGTTTTGCCTTCCTATCACCTTTCTTCCTTGTTTCTTTAGGAAAGTTCACTCACACTGATGATACAAATACATGTAAAAATTTTAAATTTGGTTTTCTCCCTGTCCAAATTGTGTAGGAAATGTTATTTATTCCTGTATGCCACAGGATATTCAAATAAAAGTTCGCGCAAAGAACAGCTGCCCCCAATATTTATCAGATAGTTTGCTACCTCTTAGCATTGCCTCTGCCATATTCTGTAGTGTTTGGCCTCTCCTTTCAATAACTGCATTTTGGGTTGGGGTATATGGAGCAGCTCTCCTATGTATAATCCCATTTTTATTGATTGGAATTTAGCATTAGTAAATTCTGTTCCATTGTCAGTCTGGATTTGTTTCACTTTCTTTCCAGTTTTCCTTTCCACAAATCTCAACCATTTTTCAAATTCTACATGAGCTGAGCTCTTATCTTTCATTAAGTAACAGAAACCAAACCTGGATTTCTGGTCCTGTATAGATAGTATGTATTTTGCTCCTCCTAAGGGTGCTTGTTCTGGACCAATTAAGTCCATAGATACCAAGTCTAGAATATTCTCTACTTGTACATTGCTATATTTCTTAGTTGGAGTACATTTACTTTTGGCTATTTGACAAGCTTGGCAATTTATATACTTGTCACATGGTTTTACTTTTACTTGAATTTTCTAATGTTTTATAGTTAGCATGTCCAAGCCTTAAATGCCATAAATGTATACAGTCCTTATGTGGACATACATTCTTCAGCGTGGTCTCTGTGAATCACACATTTGGGTTAAACAGCGCCTGTGCTGGAAACTTTGGAACCTTCTCAAACTTTTTTTTCTGAAAAGATACAAAGCTTAGATTGCCCTTTGTACGCATGCTCCATCCCTCTCAGCCTCAGTTCCTATTTTTCCACCATAGTGCTAGGAACACTTTGGATAGAGCTCTCTAAGTTGTCAAATTTTTGACTTCTCTTTGGACTGTTTATTTCGTCTTTTAATCGTTTTTGTCGCCCCTTGACTCGGACTGTTTTTCGACTATTCTTTGCTGTAGCGGACTTACTGATTGCTTGGCTTTTCCCCACGCTATTGTGGATTGCCTGATTGCCCGCCTGATTGGCGCGGCGGGAGGCGCCATTATCCACTTGACCTTAATTGCCTGATAACTCTTCTTGTTATTGGCATGAGAACAGACGCTTTTTTCTCAGCCTATTCTTTTTATGTCCCCCTCAGGCCCTTTTAGCAAGTGCAGGGCTTGTGCTAGGAAGCTGCCCTTTTACAACAAACACCAATTTTGTCTTTTTTGCCTGGGAGATACTCACATTCCTTCTCTTTGTTCTCATTGTAAGAACTTAATGAGAGCTGCGCTTAAAGCTCAGCAACAAAGACTCAAGTATCTGCCTCACAGCCTCTTGCCATGGAGACTTCCTCCAACCAGTCAGTGACCCCAAGAACTGAGGCAAATGTCCCTGCTCTTTCTACTGGGGCCTCTAAATCTGGCGCGAAAACTCCTAAGAAGCCTGTAACGGTTGCTTCTAAGAAGCCTGTTTCCTCAGCGCAGAAGACTCCCGCGCCAAAGGCTTCAAAAACTAAAAAAAACTGCTGGCCAAAACAAAAGGGACAGGAGTAGGGGACACAGTGTCATCCCTCCTATTACTCCGTCTCTGCCTTCACCAATTTTAGAAGACTCTTGGAGAGATCAGGACTCCTTGTCTGAACTGGCTCTCTCTATGCCTCCCAGCCAGCAAGCCGAGGGCAACTTGGAAGGTGAGCGTTCACCTAGCCCTGACAAATTGGAAGAGGCTGTTCTCTCCAGCCCTCAAACAGCCCTTCAAAGCCCTGCTACCAACAGGAGGGCAACTGAGCCTCCGAGGTCTCCTTCTTTGCTGAGCCAAAGTCTTCCACCATGGAAGAAATCCATTGAAAGGAGGCACTCTTTGGCTGACCGACCTCAGTCTGCTGACAGGGAGAATCAACGTCGAAAGAAGCATAGGAGAGATCGCTCTCCTGGTCGACATTCCCACAGGAGGTATTAGAGACATCGGAATTGTTATTACTACACCGACTCCATCTCCTCTACCTCTTCGACGTCGGAGGGCCATCGGAGACATAGAAACAGACACTATCCTACCACCTCTTCTGACCGCCCTCTCCCCCCCCTTTCGACATCGATGGGACCAAGAGGCTGAGGCACCTTTGCCAGTTAAGAAGACTACTTCCAAAGGGCCTCCTAAGCCACCTTCTACATCGACCTCGATGTCCAAGCGGACGAATCAATCCATCCCCTTTGCTCAAAGGCAAATGCCTTCAGATGATGAAGAGGCTCAATGCGAAGTTTACTCTGATCAGGGAGAGGAACTACTCTCCCCACAGCAGGATTAATCACTTGTTGAGGCTGAGACCTGTGAATCTGATGCAGGTGATCCCAAATCCTTCATCGCCTTCTGTGGATTTTTCATCCTACACTCAGATGGTGGCTAGAATGGCTAGTTTTAAAAATGCAAACGCAGTAGCCTCCCCTTCCATCTGAAGACTTGATCTATGGGGACATAGATCAGGAGAGTTCACAACCTTTAAGCCTCACTTTTGTATTTAAGTTGGTTAATCTTATTCATGAAATTTGGACTCAGCCTGCAGCACCCTTGCCTATATCCAGGCATACTGAGAACCTCTACAGAGCTCATGGGGATGATACAAATTACATTTCTAAGCATCCTACTCCTAATTCTGTTATTGTTCATGCCAACTCTTCAAAAGCATCTGGTAGACAACATGTTACTCCTGTCAATCGAGAGGGAAGAAAATTGGATGTTTTGGGCAGGAAGATGTATGGTTTCCAAACCTTCCTTCTGCGTATCTGCAATTACCAAGCCATGATGGGTGTTTACCAGAAGCACCTTTGGACCAAGATTCTTCCAACCCTCCAGGGTGCACCCGAGGATACAAGACAGGACTTTCTCAATGCTTATGCTGAGGCGATGACTCTGTCTAGGCACCAGCGTTTAGCTCCTAGACATGCTACAGAGGCAGCAGCCAAGACTCTCGTCTCTACTATCACATTACACTGGCATGCCTGGCTTAGAGCGTCTGGTATCGTGGAGGATGTCAAGAAGCAGATCGAAGAACAAGCGTTTGATGCCAAGGGCTTGTTTAATGAGAAAACTGATGAATCTCTCAAGAGCCTACATGAAAGTAAAAAAATCATATACAATCCACCAGCAACCAAAGTTTCAAAAGTGCCAGTGGCAGAGGCAGTTTCCGCAGCAGCAGTATCAGCAGCAAGCTTCTCAAGCCAACAAGCAGTTCAGAGGCTCTCAAGGCAGGTCCTCGGCCTACAAACAACAGACACAAAAACGTCAGTCTTACCGTCCACCTGAAATCCAAGCATTATCTTTGACTTCCACATCAGTCAGAATCACGACCATCTGACCCGGTTGGCCCATTTCTACACAATTGGAAATAGATTACAAAGGACAAGTGCGTCCTGAATATAATTCAATTCGGATGCAGGCTAAAGTTGGTAGAGTTTCCTCCTCTACGGCATCTAAAGGTGACAACAACCAACCCTACCCTGGAAGAGGAGGTTCTCACTCTACTCCAAACGGATGCCGTACATCAAATCCCTCATCAAGACATTGCAAAGGGGTTTTACTCCCGGTACTTCACTGTCCCAAAGAAGGACGGGGGCCTCAGACCCATTCTGGACCTGTGGGATCTCAACACTTACCTTCGTCCATGTCGCGTTCGGATGGTCACTCTAGAGACAATTGTCCACCTGTTGAGAAAAGGAGATTGGTTTGTGGTTATAGACCTGAAGGATGTATACTTCCACGTCACCATACATCATCATCACAGGAAGTACCTTCGTTTTATAATCAACGAAAGGATTTTCCAGTATGCGGCCTTACCATTCGGTTTAGCAACAGCTCCACGCACGTTTACAAAGTGCAGGGCTCAAGTAGCTGCATTTCTTCGTCTACAGGGAGTAAAAATGTTCCCATACATAGACGACTGGCTGATAGTGTCACCATCCAAACAGAGAGCCATCAAGGACTCCAAGTTCACCCTTCTCACCCTCCAGAGGTTGGGTCTCACCATTAACTTTGAAAAATCTCATCTGAAACTATCTTGAATAATGAGTTACATAGGAGCCACATTGGACTCCAGAAAAGCAAGGCTCTTTCTTCCTCCAGAGCGGATTCAAAAGCTACAGGCTGCAGTCAAAAAGTTTCAACCTCACTCTCAGGTGTCAGCTCATCACGCACAGCACCTGTTAGGTCTCATGGCCTCAACAACAGCATCTCTACCACATGCACGTCTAAAAATGTGCTCATTACAGGCATGGCTTCTCCATCATTTCAACCCATTTTTGGAAGATCCCCAAAAGAAAATTCTAGTCACTCCAGAACTGGGAAAGCAACTCGGATGGTGGACTTTCCTGCCGCATCTTCATTCTGGTCAGGCCTGCAATTTTCCTTGACAAGACTCACGAGTGGCAGCTGGACAACAGTGTGTTCCAGATGCTATGCAGAAGATGGGGTCAACCGTCCATAGACATGTTCACTTCATACAAGAACAAGAAGTGCAGGAGGTATGCATCTCGAGCAGGCAGGGGCTCTGGCTCCCTGGGAGATGCGTTCATGATTCCATGGTGTTACATACAGCACTGATGTTACCTGTCTGTCATGGGTTTGGAGGGAAAGTTCCATCCTATGGGGAGTGGAAGGCGGGACATCAGGGGGAGGAGCTGTACTGTATATATATGTGGAGCCTGTGTGGAGAAGTTGAGAAGCTGAGGGAGAAGAAGCTGGAGTGGGAGTCTGTGTGTCAGACAGGGTACAACTGTGTGTCAGTCAGTACCTACCTGATAGGTTCAGGTCTCTTTATAGGTAGCCAGAACTGATAGGTTCAGGGTCTGTGCTTTAATTTAAAGTGTTCTGTGTGAACCAAACTGTTGTATGTATGATTGAGACTAAGCCACGTTACAGTATCTTATTTACTTGATCATTTTATTTATCCTGTTTGTTATTTAAATAAACTTTATTCCTTTGTTTGTTAAAAATCCATTCCTGGTCTGTGTGACTTCTTATAGGGAATGGTTGGTGGCAGCTTAATTAGAGTGTGGCATATCCCAGTAGGTCTGGGGTTGTCACATTGATTGGTTACACACAGACTCCCACACCAGCTTCTCCTCCAGCTTCTCCTCCAGCTTCTCAACTTCTCCACACAGGCTCCACATATATATACAGTACAGCTCCTCCCCCTGATGTCCCGCCTTCCACTCCCCATAGGATGGAACTTTCCCTCCAAACCCATGACAGACAGGTAACATCAGTGCTATATGTAACACATGGCAAGATCATCTACTTTACCTGTTTCCACCGATTCCCCTCATACAGCGGTCTCTCATCAAACTGAGACAGGAGAGGTCAACAACGGTCATCGTAGCACCGTTTTGGCCACGTCAGCCATGGTTTTCTACTCTGCAGGAATTGGCCATGGACATGCTGAAGCTTCCCTCCTTTCTACATCTGCTAACTCAGGGGTCAGGGAGTCTTCCACAACCTTCCAGCCTCTCCTGTGTTGCTACAGACTTTACTTCTGTATCTTAGACATCTCTTTGACTTAGGCCTTACCTTATCCACTCTCAAAGTGTACATAGCAGCAATAGTCTCCTTTCAGCCTAGAGACTCAGAATCCTCTAGCCTCTTCTCTAATTCTACATTGAAAGCATTCTTAAAAGGACTGGTCAATATTCACCCTCCTGTTAGGACTCCAATTCCCCAATGGTCACTTACATTGGTTCTACAAGCCCTTATGAAGCCTCCGTTTGAATCTATGGCTTCGTGTGATGTCACGTTTCTCTCCCTAAAGACTCTGTTTCTAGTTGCAGTTATGTCTGCTAGAAGAGCAAGTGAGCTGGCAGCACTAAAGTCTGATGCTCCTTACTTGCAGTTCTAAAAGGACAAAGTTATGTTGTTTCCAGATGTTTCGTTCTTGCCTAAAGTTGTTACAGATTTTCACCTTAATCAGCCTCTCTCATTGCCTACCTTGTTTCCTGATCCTTCGTCTGACGTCGAGAAGATGCTCCATTCCCTAGATGTCTGAAGGGCATTAGCATACTATAATTCCAGGACAAAGGACTTTCGTACCTCTGAAACGCTCTTCCTGTGCTTCTCTGGACCACATAAAGGTTCTCCAGCGTCATCTTCTACCTTGTCGAGATGGCTTGTCTCCACTATTACTCTTGCATATGAACTTGCGGGTAAACCTGTGCCTGAAGGTCTTAAGGGACATTCTACAAGGTCCATGGCAACATCTACTGCCTTACTACGTGGTGTGGACATTCCTGACATCTGCAAGGCAGCAACTTGGTCCAGGGTGTTCACTTTTATTACCCACTACACGCTTGAGCTTCAGGCAAAGAGGGAGATGAATTTTGGAAGGGCTGTCTTGACTTCTGTCCTGCAGTGACGGCCCTCCTTCCTGTAAGTTACCTTGCCAGTCACCCAAATGTGTGATTCACAGAGACCACGCTGAAGAAAGAGAGGTTACTTACCTGTAACCATGGTTCTTCAAGTGGATCTCTGTGAATTCACACATACCCACCCAGCCTCCCCACTATCCGTCACTGCTTATGTTAAAGTGAGCTCTTGCTCTAGCAATGGCTGATACATGGAACTGAGACTGGGAGGGATGTAGCATGGGGACAAGGGGCAATCTAAACTTTTTATCTTTTCAGAAAAAAAGCTCAAGAAGGTTCTGAAGTTTCCAGCGCAGGCGCTGTTTAACCCAAATGTGTGAATTCACAGAGATCCACTTGAAGAACCATGGTTACAGGTAAGTAACCTCTCTTTCATATACATTATTTATATTCAGATTGCTTAACCTGTATAAGTTGTTTCTCATGTAACAAGTAAGCATTGAGTTATTTTCCCCTTTAATTACACATTTGTTCTTGTAAAATGTGCTAGTAAAACCTTCTTTGGCTAGTGAGCTTACTGACAGTAAATTATGCTTCAATTGAGGCAGATATATCACATTAATTGGTTTTATTAGACATGGTAGTTTCACTTTACCTTTACCCATTATTTTGGCACTCACAGCATCGGCCAAAAATACCTGTTGATTAAATACAGTTTGGAAGTCGTATATCAGCTTCTTATTTTTACACATGTTAGCAGTGGCACCTGAATCAACAATCCATTCCTCATTGTAACCTTTAGAGTTGCAAATAGTTTCTGTTAGATGTGATTCATTGTCTTGTTGTGGCTGCTTTCTGTCTCTCTTCTTAGACTTGCAATTTCTTATCAAGTGTTTGCTTGAACTGCAGGCAAAACATCGCTTTCCTGGTTGAGTAATAGCAGCTGTGACCTCCTCCTCCTCCTCCTCCTCCCCAAGTTCTTCCAGCATGTTTATTATACTGATTAGAGGGTTTAGTGTCACGGAGTTGCATATTATCTTTCCTTTTCTGTTCCTCCTCCAAAAGCCTACTAGTTACATTCAAAACAGTCAGTTCAGCTTGTGGTACAACTTCCAAATTTGACACAAATTGATCATATGTCTGGTCTAATGAAGAAAGAATAATGAAAGCTTCTTGCAGCTCTGTAAATACAATATTCTTTTATTTATTTATTTATTCATTTATTTAATTTATATGCCGCCCACACTACCCAAAGGTCTCTGGGCGGCTTACAGCATTTAAAATACAATAAAAATATGTACAATTAAAATACAATTAATATATATATAAAATTGCCATCAGACCCACAGTTAATATTATTTCAGTTAAAAGCCTTCTGGAACAGGAAGGTTTTGACCTGGCGCCGAAATGTCATCTTAAATCCATGAGCATTCCTTTCATTTGCTCTAAATGGTGCAGCATGCTTTCACCTGCTTGTAACCTTGTACGAAATAATTTCCTTGCAAGCTGTAGCTGACTCCCAACACTGACTCATACAAAGAGTCCCCTTAGATCCTCCCACTCCTACTTTGCTGAAGTCAAGCCTCTAAGATGGATTAGGAGATGGTCTTCTAGAATCAAGCCAATTATTGCAAGTGCTTTATTATTAAGTTTCTACTTTCATTTAACACAGCTGGTGGACTTTCAACTATATCTCATAATGACTCTTTCTGGAGAAGTAGCTGGACTGTTTGCTGGCATGTATGGTAATTCTCCCCATTCAGCTTCATTATTGTCAGACCGGACATCATGATTTCACTGGCCATTTCTAAGACTCTACATTAAAGCTGTTTTACTTACTGCTGCTGTTTGGCTCACTCCCTCTGGGTTCCTTCAGGTCAGCGTTCACCTTGGCAGCATATTCCTGGGCCCATAACCATTGACAGAGTTGGTAGCGTGCCAAGTGTGCCAAAGTTTTGTCCTTATCCAGTCCAATGGTCATGCACAGCAATATCAACAGAGTTCAGTCCATAAATCAGTTCAGTAGTCAATGTCCTTGTAAATCCGTCGAGCAGCATTTCTTCTTCTCCACGATCAACATCACACCACGATGCCACAACAGTGTGAATGCTGAGGCAGCTGGCTTTATTCCAGCTTCATCCAATCCTTGGTTTCTCTCACAGCTGCTACAAGTCTCACTACGTATATCTTGTATCTTCACATCTGTATACATTTATTACTTTTCACGTTTTCTTTACATAGATCCTTACAATTACAGTATTTCAGGCTCTTTACAACTAGTTCCACAAAACTGTATTAACAATTCCCATCAAGTTCTTATCAGACCTGTCAAGAGGGATGTTAGAATTGTTGTAGATCACAAGCTAAATATGAGCCAACAGTGGCTTTTTATTAATCCAGGTTCTCCAACTCTTCCTTTCCTTTCTCCTTTCATCGGTTCACCATTTTTAATATATTTATGGACTTGTAATGCCTTTAAATTAAGTACTGTAGAGTGGAGGAAATTTGCATGTAAACCATGGAACTTTTCCAGTAAAACCTCAATTCTAATCGAACCCTGTCCTTGTATTTCTGAGTAAGCTGGCTGTATAGTGGTTTAAATATCTGGTTGCAGAACTAGAGTTTCCCCACTGTGTCTCCCATGGGTAAGGTCAGGCTGTGTGGCCTTTGGGAAACTGCACAGTCCCAGAAGCAGGGAACAACTTTTGAGTATTCTCTACCTAGAAACCCCTGAAAAAAGGGTTGCCATTAGTCAAAATTCACTTGATGGCCCATGATTATTATTTTGGATAGTGGTTAATATTAATCAACTATATTTTCCCATAACTTACCCTTTGGGGAGTCCATGCTGTTTTCACAATAGGGCTAATTTTTCAAATGTTGCCAGTAAAGCCTTCAGGAGACATATGACTTTCAAAGGACTCAAAGGGAGAAAATTCTTTGGTTTGACCTCCAGTTAAATTCTGTTCTGTGCTACATTCTCAAGATATCTTCATTTTTCTCTTATCAGGTTAAAAAATGTGATGGCCAGAATTATGCAGAGCCACTTCTTCTAGCCCTGAAAAGTCTCAAGTGTGAAGCTGGGGGAAACAACCCCATGAACTAGAGGAGAAAGGGGTTAAAGCAACAGCTTCGGACCAGTGCCGCTAGTTGAGTTTAAAAAATTCACCCTGGGGAGAAACCACATAAATGCATTGAATGTGGAAAGAGTTTTAATCACAGTGGTGACCTTAGGAAACATGAAAGGACTCACACTGGGAAGAAACCACATAAATGCATTGAATGTGGAAAGAGTTTTAATCACAGTGGTGACCTTAGGAAACATGAAAGGACTCACACTGGGAAGAAACCACATAAATGCATTGAATGTGGAAAGAGTTTTAATCACAGTGGTGACCTTAGGAAACATGAAAGGACTCACACTGGGAAGAAACCACATAAATGCATTGAATGTGGAAAGAGTTTTAATCACAGTGGTGACCTTAGGAAACATGAAAGGACTCACACTGGGAAGAAACCACATAAATGCATTGAATGTGGAAAGAGTTTTAATCACAGTGGTGACCTTAGGAAACATGAAAGGACTCACACTGGGAAGAAACCACATAAATGCATTGAATGTGGAAAGAGTTTTAATCACAGTGGTGACCTTAGGAAACATGAAAGGACTCACACTGGGAAGAAACCACATAAATGCATTGAATGTGGAAAGAGTTTTAATCACAGTGGTGACCTTAGGAAACATGAAAGGACTCACACTGGGAAGAAACCACATAAATGCATTGAATGTGGAAAGAGTTTTAATCACAGTGGTGACCTTAGGAAACATGAAAGGACTCACACTGGGAAGAAACCACATAAATGCATTGAATGTGGAAAGAGTTTTAATCACAGTGGTGACCTTAGGAAACATGAAAGGACTCACACTGGGAAGAAACCACATAAATGCATTGAATGTGGAAAGAGTTTTAATCACAGTGGTGACCTTAGGAAACATGAAAGGACTCACACTGGGAAGAAACCACATAAATGCATTGAATGTGGAAAGAGTTTTAATCACAGTGGTGACCTTAGGAAACATGAAAGGACTCACACTGGGAAGAAACCACATAAATGCATTGAATGTGGAAAGAGTTTTAATCACAGTGGTGACCTTAGGAAACATGAAAGGACTCACACTGGGAAGAAACCACATAAATGCACGGAGTGTGGAAAGAGCTTCAGTCACAGAGGTACCCTTAGGATACATCAAAGGAATCATACTGGGGAGAAACCATATAAATGCATCGAATGTTCAAAGAGCTTTAGTCAGAATGATGCTCTTAGATTACATCAAAAGACCCATACTGGGGAGACTGGCTCAGAGACTGGCTTGATGCTGCAATGAGACAGCAGGAGGAGGATGGAGCTCTATCTCCTGGGCTGAATTCTGACCTGTTTGGGACACCCCAGGGTGTTGAAACCACCCCAAAGAGGTGGTGAACGGGGGGGGGGAGGAATCCTTTCGATCATGGGGGAGACAGGAGTCATCCCCATTTGATCCAGGAAAGTCCCCAATCAGCCAACGGGCAGAAACAAGCAGCTAGGAAACTTGCTTGCAAGTCGTCGGCAGCCAGCAATAAGAGAATCAACAATCAGCTATTCAACATCAGTGTTATTATCGGGTGAGATATATTTTTGCAACTAATTGCTTATGATTACCCCTGGAGAAGACAATTCCTATACAGTGGACCTACTTACAGAATTAATCCGTACTGGAACAGTGGCTGCAGGTCAAAAAGTCTGTAGGTCGAGTCTCCATTGACCTACAATGCATTGAAAACTGATTAATCCTGTAACCGGTCGTTTTTGTTCCATTTTTGTTTTTTTCTGGTCTGTAAGTTGATTCTCTGGCTGCAAGTCGAACCTAAATTTTATGGTCAGAGAAGTCTGTAAATGGAAAAGTCTAAGTCGAGCCGTCTGTAAGTCGAGGTTCCACTGTATACAGAAAAAGGAATCTATCAATCTCATCATATGTAGAGTGGGAGAAAATCTGGAAAGAGGGATAGTTGATGCAAAGAAAATAATTTAAAGATTAATGGGATATTAACTACTCATTTAAATACATTTAAAATATATTTTAAGAATGTTATAATTTGGCATTATAAGTCTCAAGAAACTTTTCTCGTAAGCTATTATCAGTTAAGTAGCAAGTTTGGAGTTATTGTCTCATGTTTTGGGTACATGAAGTCTTTTGGCATAATGACCAGAACAGTGACCTTGAGCACTCTACTGCTGTTTAAAGCTTGGAAAACTGTTTTTAATTTCCTTTTGATTTTTTTCATGCCTGGCTGGAACATGGACAAATTATCCCTAAAGTAGATCTTTTTAAACTGTACTTTGGGAGTCAGTATATTGGGCCAAAGTAAACTTTTTGGAACCACCTCTAGGGACCCGGAATTTCAGTTTTGGTCGATGCAGAATTGCGGGAACTAGACTACCAGCACATGGATACAAACACTGAATTGGACTGTGAAATTTGGGGGTTTTGAACTTCGGTTTAGGCCTATTTGGCCAAAGTAGATCCACTGAGACTGCCCCGGGAGCTGGAAGTGTTTGTGTTTGACTAGCTGGTGCAAACCTGTGGGAATTAGGCCATCAGGCCACGGATACAACCATTTTATTGTACCTTGGTACTTGGGGGTTTAACTTCTGTCCAGGTCTATTTAGCCAAACTGGACTCTTTGAATTGACTCTGAAGACTTGGAATATCTGTTTGGCTGGCATCAATTTGCCAGGGATCAATTACGCCACAGATACAATCATCGAACTGAACTGTGATACTTGGGGATTTCGAATCTTGGCTTAAGCGCTTGGGTAGCTGGAACAGAATGGCACAACTAGGACAACTTTGGGATGAAACTAAATCTACCCTTCAAACAATCTGAGAAATAGTAAGATCCCACTACCAAGAGGCAAAATTATTCAACGAACATCAGAAGAATTATAGTCAACAAATGTCAGGGAATTAAAAAAAAAGAACAAAGAAATGAGAGTGTGTCGGATGATGTATGCCAATCCAAAGAGGAGGTGGAGGAAATTAATGGCAGAAACCTAAGAGAAACAACTTTAATCTTGAATCTGAGGAGAGTATTAAGGGAAGACAAGGGGTGAAAATCAGCAAAATTAATTTTAAAAGGCCCGGAAAATCTATTGAAGATAGACCAAGTGCATAAAGATCTAGTGGGGATAAATCAGATGCACAGAGGGCATGAAAATGGCAGAATGCTTAGAGAGACAGAAACAAAAAGTGAAAAACGAGAAATAAGAGAGAGAATTACTTAGAAAGATGAAAAAGGCAAAAATAGGAAGGGGGCCCTTAAAGTTGAAAAGCATGTATATATCTAACTTTGGGAATTGTAAAGGAGCATATCCTTTATATTAAAAAGGAGAATTAAAATGAAATAAGGGAGCACTACCCAGGGTTAAGATGTAATATGATGGGTTTTCGTTTTAGGTAAATTAAACTAGATATAAGGTTGGGTCATGGATCTGGAACTACTTCTATTAAGTACAGTGGGGTCTTGACTTAAGAACGGCTCGAGTTAAGAACATTTTGACTTAAGAACCGCTCTCATAGGAAAATATTGACTTAAGTACTTAGATTTGAGTTAAGAACTAAAAAAAAAACAGATGGGAGGCAGGGAAAGTGCAACATTTGAACTTTCAGTTAACTGTTGGCCAGTGAAAAGGATGCCTGTCTGCTTCCTCACTCCTCCCAGCGTTTAGAGAGTGGATTGGGAGACAGTCTTCAGACTGCCTGGTACTGTACTGCCTGGACTGTATTTTCCCTGCCTTCCCTGAACCTTTCTTGACCTAAGAAAAGAGAATCAAAATATCCCCCTCTAGTGGTCGAATAGCAGCTTCCCATTAGTTTCTATGGACGGAAAAGAGCAGATACGGATCAAATGGTTTTCAATGCATTCCTATGGGACATGCAGATTTGACTTGAGAACTTTTTGACTTGAGAACCGCCTTCCAATACGGATTAAGTTCTCAAGTCAAGACCCCACTGTATGTTATTAAAAGATCTTCGAATATTGTACACTATGAAAGTAATATTACGATAGTAGCCAATATTATATACTAAAGTATGTATATGAACGTAAAATACGTATATGAACAACCTGATAGCTATCCATGGGATAAAGGGGAGATCTTCAATGCATCACATGATCAACTCTTTTTTTATTGTTTTTTATATTCTGTAAGAGGCCCAGAGTGGTAGAATATACTAGATGGGTGGGATATAAATCAAATAAATAAATAAATAAACTCAAAGTTATCTCATGAAAAATAGCAGGGTGGACCTTGAAGCAAAATGACCCCAAGTTTCTGGAACATCTGAGGGATCACAATATAATTTTTATTCAGGAAACATGGTTCACCAAACAAATCAAGCTAAATGGATATGCTGTATATGATATGCCCACCGAGACCACCAAAAGGAAAGGTAGACCTAAAGTAGGCTTAGCAATAATATCTACTGCTCTCCAGGCATCGGTCAACTGGCTCTCCATTTGTGGGAAAATAGCAATGGCTGGGCATATAGTCTTTGGGCCTAAGACCCTTCTGGTCAATGTTTATATCCCACCTTTCTCATCTCAGAAGAGCACAAAACAAGCTTGGGAAGACCTGGAAAACTATATAATAGGAGTAGAATGCAAACTTCTTAGAGCCCAGTTACTCATAATGGGGGACTTTAATGCAAGATTAGGCTCAAAGAACAGCACACTCTTCTTCTAGTGTTGGGGGGGGCAGTTGTCAATGAGATCTTTGCCCCTAGCTATGATACAATGTCCAAAGATACTAAGGTGAATTATGGTGACCTCTGTATGATCCAAATGGTGTCCCGCCTTGGGCTTATAATATTAAACGGGAACCCCCCACTATGACAAATGCCCTGAATTCACCTATGTAACAGGACATGGAAGCAGTGCAGTGGATTTTGTGCTAATCTCCCACTCTTTATCTAAAGAGGTACTGGAATTTTCTGCAGGTCTAAGGATAGTGACCTGGATACTGACCACCTCCCCCTTAATACCACCCTCCTTCTCTCACAATGTGTCCATCTGAGTGCAAAACCTCATCTTCAAGAGAAATTTCTAAGCTTCAAACAAAAGAGAACACTGGACTGAAAAAACCCGCAATAAGCTAGAAGGCTTCTTTGGCTCCGCCGAAGGGGAGTCCCTAAAAAATTTCAATCATAGTTCTGGCTTGACACCGCGATGAGACAGCAGCAGGAGGCCAGAGCTCTGTCGGCTGAGCTGAATTCTGACCTGTTTGGGACACCCCAGGGTGTCGAAACCACCCTGGAGACATGGTGAACTGGGGGGGAAGCCTGTTGATCACAGGGGGGATGGTGGTCACCCCCGTTTGATCCAGGAAACTCCCTAATCAGCCAGCGGGCTGAAACAAGCAGCTTAGCTCGCTTGCAAGTCGTCGGCAGCTGGCTAAGAGAAGCAACAATCAGCTATCTGGCATCAGTGTTACTATCGGGTGAGATATATTTTTACGACTAATTGCTTATGATTACCCCTGGAGAAGACAATTCCTATATACAGAAAAA